GAGTCTGAATCCATGTGCGGGAGTTTATTGAGGACAGTTTCAGTGAACAGGAACGTCAAGGCAGGCAGAAGGTCGAAACCAGAATGACAATCCAATGTAACAACACTTACAGGGGCAATCCAGAAGGCTAAAGTGAACAGGCAGGCAAAAGGTCCAAACACACACATCCGTCCGATCAGGCAAACTAAGCAAGGGGAATAATCCAGGTAAACGTTAGGTCGGTAAACAGGCAGAATCATACACTGAACAGGCAATCGGAATCACAATAGAGAACGCTTGGTAAGGCAGGTTTAACTGGCAATGCTTTGCGATGAGCATGAGCACATTCTCTGGCTATAAAGGAACCAAACAGGAAATGAGTGTAGAGGAAGCAGAGGGAGTGGAACACAGTCAGTACTCGGGTGAGGGCTCCCTCTGCTGGCTTGGCATTACAATGATTTACAACTACACTGTAAAAAAAAAAAAAAATATATATATATGTTTCCAAGAAAATACTATTTCAGTCTTTATAGTTAAAAATTGTATGTTTAATTCAATGTGTTATTTGTCTTTTTTGTAATTATTTGTGAAGATTACTAGCAATTTTTGAGTGAAGGTTGATTCAAGCAATTTTTTTTTCAAGTTATTCTAATGTAGGAAATGTCTACTGTTAAATTGAAGACTATATCAAGCTGCCCTGTAATAAAGACATGCTAATAGGTTCAGATATGCCACATATCTTTCTTGTAACCTTATGTTACCTTCAATGTCCTTTTAAACTAACTGGCTGCTTTAAACATTCACTGTCTGCTTTGATAGATTGAGTCAAATGGAAGGTGACAGGCCAAAGTGAAAAAATACTGATGCAGGGGAAAAGACTTGAGGCTACATTGAACTTTGGGGACAGCACAGAGTTTCAAATGACAATGGATCGAACTGATGCAGAAGGAGAACGAAGGGAGTTATAGAAGACATAAGATTATAACTTTGTGAAGCATAATCATTAGGCATATGTCAACTATGTGTTTTATCTCTATTAATTAGATCTATTCACAACAAGCTAAAGCCTTGCCTTCCTGCTGGATGTAATATTTAACACAGAATGAAAAGAACATACAGCTTTCAGAATGAAACACTCCTTAAAACATGGATGAACAGTACTACTACAAGCTACTACAAGCTACTACAACTGTCAACTCAAGCTACTGTCAAATGTGCATTTCTAAGAGACACACCCACAAAATAAATAATAATAATAATAATAATAATCATATTGCAGCCTGCACTGCAAACTGTGCTGAAGATACACGTCATAAAATTCAGGCAATACAAACCTGTTTCATGATTTGAAACAATATCACTCATTAGAACATGCAGAAACTAATGAATTTATTTTTTTTATTAAGATATTTATTTTAAGGAAAAATGACTGGAAAATTGTAAA